AATAACTATATAATGTATAGAAAGAATACATTTGATTACCTCTTCATCAACCAACAGTATATCAAGACTGATAAGTTCTCCTGTCTTGTAGTCTACATTTCTCCATAAGCGACATATTCGAGCACGAATAGTCAAGTGTGTTTCACCAGGTTTTAGGATTCTTATTCGTGCAAACATCTTGTTCATACTGAAAAATAATATACAAAATATAAGAATTCATAATATATAAATGGAGTAAAAACTTGTATTATAATAATTTGTAATAACACTTTTAAAATCATAGGATGATTTTATAAAATATTATAAAAGTATAGATATTATAAAATAATAATGGTATTATAAAATGTTAACAATGTAAAAATAAAATTGATAAAAAAGATATTTCATATATTGATTTAACTATTTAATTACAATATAATAAAGAGTAAATAAGTTACTAATCTTAAATATTATGTAATATTTCTTTGTACACAATATTTTTTATACAATTTGGATATTTATTTATTGATTCGTGTATTAAAATATTTAAACCTTTTGGTGATGTAACTCTTGATAAAACTACGTATAATTGTCCATGAGAAAAAATTTCATTCTCTAAATATATACCGATTTTTTCTAATGATTGACCTTGACTTTTATTTATTGTCATTGCATAACATATTTTTACAGGAAATTGTCGCCTTTTTAAAACAAATGGCCATTTTGATTCATTTATAGTTAATTCTATTCTAGGTATATAAACTTTAATATTTGTATCAACAGAATTAATAATATGACCTTCAATAATTCTATTTGTTAGTTGGGTAATTATCAATCTAGTACTGTTACATAAACTTTGTGACTGATTAAGATTTCGTAATAACATAATAGGAATTCCAATTTTTAATTTTAATTCATGTGGTGGTAAATTATTAAAATTTAATGTGTGTAGAAATTCAGGAGGATATAATAGATTTAATTCATCAAGGTTTCCAGATGAGGAAATAATTGTATCGTAACTGTAATAAATTTTCTCCTCTATAGGTATTAAAGATAACATATAATCATTTATTTCATCTGTTGTTTTATTTCTAGGTGCTACAATTGCACGATTTTTTATATATTTAATATTATCATAATTACTTTTAAAATCATCATATACTACAGTGGAAATATGTTTAATCAGATTTTTATCATATTTTACCAAGTATTGTTCAGGTATGTTAATCCAAGTAGCATCTTCATTTTCAGGATCTTTTATTCCATTAAGTGTTCCATTTCCGATATTTAGTATCCAATCAGAAAATTTTTTAATTTCAATTTGTTCATCAATAAAACTGTTTGGAATATTTAATCGCATATTTTCTGTCAATGTTAGTACACGGAAATATGGCCAAAGGTAAGAATTATTAATACTTGCATTAATAATATTTTCTTTTGTGCCTCCTGGAATAACAGGTAAAATTTGTCTAAAATCACCACCTAAAATAACTGTCATTCCTCCAAATGGTTGGCTAAAGTTATTTCTCAAGTCTTGCATTGTTTTATCTAAAGCTTCAAAACAGTATTTATTATTCATTGGCGCTTCATCCCATAATATTAAGGTTGTTTTCTCTATTAATTTTGCTAACTGAGTATTTTTTTTAATGTGACATGTTGAAAATTTGTCAACTAAAAGAGGAATACGAAAACGTGAATGTGCTGTACGACCATTTGGTAAAAGTAATGATGCTATTCCAGATGACGCAACTGCTAATACTATTTCACCTTCTGATATAATTTTGTTAATAAGTGTATTCCATAAATATGTTTTTCCTATACCTCCATATCCATATACGAAAAATAAGTTATCATAGGTTTTTGTAAGTGATTTTAAAATTTCATTGTAAATATAATACTGTTCATGGTTTAAATTATTTATTAAATTTATATTTTCTTCTTTTAGTTTTTTTTATCATAATTGAGTTCTTCTCTTAAAAGTTTGTTATCTAAATCTTCAATTAATGATCCTGTTGGAAGTGATATGTTAAAATTTGCTAAAGAAGATGCATTTAAATTTAGTAGTTTTTCTAAATCATATAGTACAAAGTTATATAATTCATTATCTGGGATTTGAAATGTTGAATTATTGAGTAGTTTTTTTAATTTATATATAATATCATCACACATTAAGTTCCAGTGGTTTTCTAATAACTTTATTGGGTCAAATACGTTACAAAATAGTAAAATAGTAGTAAAAAGTTGACGAAGTTGAGTAGATGTTGACCAACATGATGCTTCTTCAATTGATTCATTTCATTCTTTATCATCTCCTAATAAACCTAATGCATGACATGCTTGTTGATATGTTGGATAAATAGTATTATTAATTGTTCGAATTGATTCAAAACTTGTTGCACCTTTTTTATGATTTAATAGTAATTTTAAATAAAATAATTCACCACAACTGGGAGAAATATGAAACATTCT